ACACCAGGACGACTGGATACAAATTCTCTGTAATTTAATATATTTAAAGGAAGCAAGATATTTTCATAAGTGGGGCGAGTTGGCAGACCTTTATTCAGTGGGATTTTAACTCTTTTCATAAATAAGGCGAGTTGTCAGACCGAATGTTCAATGGGATATTACCCTTTTTCAGAAGAGGGGAGAGTTAGTAAACAAGAGTGGGGCGATTTTTTAGAAAGTGGCGATTTAGTGTGGGCCGATTGGCCAGTGGGGCGAGTTGACATGGTTTTATATTTAAACATCGTGTTCGGGGGTCATAAAGGGTATATATTATATAGTAATATATAAAGTATATTATAATGGTTGTGTGGCGTTCTAAACTAGATTTTATGAATTGTAAATGGTTTTTCGTCTAATCTAAAACAGCTGGGATGTAAAATACTTATCCCATTCGAACTTGGTGTCTCAGTGTTAGATCACCCTTTGGCCTCCGGCCATCGGGGTGATTTTACACTGACACACCGCGTCCTCATGGGATAACTATTACAGGTTATTCTAGAACATGTGTCATACGCAATGATTTTATTCCGATTGTTTTTACTTCCATTTTTGTGTTTTATACGTATGAGATGAAAATTACCTGTGTATTCATATGATACATTTTGACTGTAACTTTTCAATTTTTAATTATAATAATTGATCTTAAACTAAAGTTGCAACTCCCTCAAGCTAATTTAAACTTGGACGATTTTTAGTCGAAATTTATATAGTACCGGTAAACACAAATTCATTATTGATCCTCCCTTACCGCGAGTACAAATAGCAAAAGGTACAAACACACGGTGATCTGAACTTCCTCTGATACACACATAGTTCGAGTCTCTATCTTCATTATCAATATGAATTTTCTCTCATAGTAAAGAAGAAGGAAAGTTAATTCAAAAGCAACACATACTTACCACAATAGCCATATTTGAATAGTTATCGAAATACAGATATAAGTGTGTACTGTTAATTTTTAAGTTATCAAGATAACCTACTTCACATTGGCGAATGGGAAATATCTAACACTTTATATGTTGATAAATGTTTAATAAACTGATTTTCGTTTACACAACCCGGACTTTATCTTTATGCAGTCCGTGTATCATGAGACGTGTAACTTCACAGTTAACTTATAAAAAACCTTTCCGGTTATATAGATTATTGGTAAGAATCGGGTTTTCCATTAACGACCAACCAAATCACCGTGGAGACAGTAAAACTTTTAATTTGACCATTGATAACCATTGCTTTATTAGTTTCCATGTCAGCTGCAACCCCTTATTAAGAATATCATGATAGGGAATACAAGGCCAAAAATATCTTGGAGATATTAACTTTTTATGCAGGGGATAATATAATGTTACTACGTAGAACTGGAAGTTCAGAAATGAAAAAAATTCAAGTCATCTCTTTTGTCGTTAATCTTAGTCCTCAACTGAACCTCATTTTCAATTTCTATATTGTAAAATATGATGCAGACGAGAGAGGCGAAAGATAACAAAGAGATAATCAAACGCATAAGTCGAAAACAAACTGACAGTACCATGGCAAAAAAAAAAAAAAAAAAAAAAAAAAAAAAAGCAAAACGATCAAAAGACTAACAACAGTATACAAAACACAACATAGAATCTAAAGACTGAGCAACACGAAAACCTGTTCAATCGGATAGATGCGATCAACATAGCCACCAAACATTGAAATGTTCAGTGAGAGAACATCATCAATATAGCAGAACGTAAAGTTAAAGGAAAATACTAGCTTATTTTTATTCTTCTTGAAAAGCTCCCGAATGAAGTATGCTCAAACAAATAAAGGAACAATTCGAGATGAGAAGCACACTTGGTTCTTTTCGGAATTCCGACTGCTTGTTGTAAAACACGTCAAAATAACATAACAAATATGTTGTCAATATAAATATCAAGCATTTTGATGATGCCAGTTTAAGAAATTTTTGGTTTGTTTTAGAATGAGGAAAACTTGTATAAAGGGAAGAGATGTCAACTATTTTTCTAATGCACAAGGACATGGACTTATCATACATGTTACAGTAAACTGGAAACATAAGTAATTTTATAACTAACAGATTCAGTGATTTTTAAAAATCTCTGAAATAATTAAGAATTTTATAAAATCACTGAAAATATTTCTAGGGATTTTGTAAAATCCATAACACGTTTAAAACTTAAAATCGGCATTGTATTTTTCTTAATATAGACAGAGCAGTGATTTATATTCAATAAACACATTACCAATTACAATTATTTTTCGGTGACTACGAATAAAAGGCATATGTACAGATATAAAAACTGCAGTTTACATATTGCTGTATATAAGTTGTGTTGACATTTGCTGCTCCACAATTGCCCTGCTTTTCGGCAGGCACACCTATTTTGTTCACATCTACTCATTTTTTTTTAACCTTGTCTATCAAAAAGGAACACTGTTACTCTGTTTGCCGAAAAGACATGGAATTTTCACAGATACATATATGCTGAAAAACAAGGAATCAGTGGGTTCAAACTGTTTGCAGTATTTAACCATAACAAAATGCTTTGTTAGGAAGCAAGCCGATAACCTTTTTCTGGTTCCCACAGGACAATTGCCATAGGATTACCATAATATCCTTGACATCAGCATTAGCCGGCTCTACGCTGCCTTCACTTTGAGTGTGTCGAGGTTCACCATGAATAATTTAATATTTCCTACCATAAATTGTTGAGCCTTATTAGGCTTAATTACAATGCCGTTACTAGTAGTTCTATTTTTTTTATTTGACACATCTAGCAAAGTTCCTTGTTACGTTCTAAAGTTTCTGCTGAAACGTTTGCATACTTTCTGTTTGCCTATATACCGTTTATTGTGGTTTGAGCTTTCAAATTACTGATAATTCTATCAAGGAAAAGAAATTATTGACTTTTTACTTTTATCACAATATGTTATTTCCTATTATTCTCGAGCAAACTCGAGTTTCGGTTAAAAAATGTTATATTTCGATAACAAAAGTAATAAAAAAACATATTCAGAAAAAATGCTCCACGTTTGTCTTCATAGAATACCGGTACTGTAAACGATAAAATTATGAAACGTTTGACGGTAGCATAAACGACAAAAAGTCCCAAAACAGAACAGTCAACTTAGCTACAACTTTGTCTCATGGAGATCAAACGTTATTTTGTATTGTACCATTAGTGTAACGTCAGCCTATTCATTAACCGTGGTTTCTTTTTCCAAAACCAACGCTTCCTAAATCTGTCGCTGTGATGGACTCACCAAATTACTGTAACATTCAATTGTTCCCTTTGTGTGCTTAATTTCATTCATTTGAATTGGCTAATTTACTGATTTATGTTAACTAATGAAATTATTTAAAAAAAAATTACCTTCAACTTTTGTAACTTTTATCTGCCTTCACTGGGAATCGAACCTTTTCCTTAATGGATGGATGTCTGTTTAACGTACAGTGACAAATTAAATGCATATTCAGGACGAGATATGAAATATAAACCCTGCTTTGTACTAGACCGACTCGCTCAGCCAGATTTTTAACGTGCTAATTCACAAGTTTTAACAATCCACAGAAAGACATGTCACCCTACCCGGACACATTATTCTGACTCCGAGCCGACCAATCTTTGCTCTTACTCCTAAATGCCGCGTACTTAGCGCGGAAGCAATACATGCCAAATTTTCAAGTATTTCACAAGACTCGAGTCTCAATTCAAATATATATATAGTTCACTGCTTATATTGTCCGAGGTAAATATGATGTCTACTTTTTTGCAAAGAACTATTTATTTACATAGCTATGAAATCAGCAAAAGGTTGAAAGGTATGCAGATCAGCATGACCACGCTCCCAACGAATGAGCACTACGTCACATTTTTATACTTGTGGTTAATGCATGCCTAATAAAAAATATAAAAAATGACCTTATTTTGGATAATTTTGTTTTAATTCAAAGCAAAGTTTTGGTGTAGACCAAACACATTTTTGAAAGTATATTTCTGTGAGAAGTGGAATGGATATTCTGTTGTTGATTTCCCGTTTATATTTAATTCTGTTAACACTTTTGAAAACACTCGTGGTAAAAAAACACAGGATTTTGATATTTTTTTGATGTTATAATGATTTCGTTTACAGACCAAATATTGCCCGTATATGTATTAGCTAAATCTTGCAAATGTCTGAACAATTAGATTATTCCTCTTTTTTAGGGGGTAGGGTGGGTGTCTTGTTTTTAACAGATCTTGTCTTGTTTTTGACAGAACTTGTCTTGTTCAATTCTTAAAGTTCTTCAGTTATTTGCGAAACACTTTGTTCCCTTGGGTAAGAAGTGTTAACTATAGCTGTAAATCGAACTTCGTTAGTTGGTACATGTATATAAAGAAAACACTGCATTTAAGATGGGATGCCGAAATATATGTTTGCCTCAGATCGACGACCGGTCTCAAATCTACATACGTTTAAATCGAACATTAAGCGCTTACATGTAGTTATTTACATCATCGTCCACTGGTTTTTGATGAAAACTTATTTAATTGGCAATCATACCACGTCTCTTTAGTGGACGACCATTTCATTTTCGGGGGAGGGGGAGGTGAGGAGGATTTTGAAATGAATATCCTGGTCTGGCAAGAACTGAAAATATTAAACCCTGCATTAAACAGGATGAAAATGAATATATTGCACAACTAAATGCAGGAAATAATGTGTACAAAAGTGGAAATAAATGTTCGCTCCGCGGAAAAATAATCTGCATGAGTAACAGATGTAAATAATCAATCCGCAAAAAAATCTCCCCAATCTCCCCCCCCCCCTAGAATATCAAATGATCGTCCCCTTATCATGCTTTTATATCAAAGCACATCAACTTTTGATAAAGAAATTCTAATATCTTCCAATTCAATATGAGCATAAAGTATAACAATTTGAATGAATACTTACACAAGGTGTAAGGTTTACAACGACAACAACTTCTATAAATCTATATAATCTGATAAACAACTGATATAATAACATTGGCGTTGAGTAAAACTTATATCATATGCTCGGCTTTATGTAAAACTGATAGTATATCCTCGGCATAGAGTAAACTTATGTTGTATCTTTGGCATAGAGTAAACTGATATTGTATCTTTGGCAATGAGTAAACTGATATTGTATCTTATGCATACAGTAAACTGATAGCATATCCTCGGCATAGAGTTAACTAATATTGTACATTTGGCATACAGTATCCTCGGCATAAAGTAAACTGATATTGTATCTTTGGCATGAGTAAACTGATGTTGTATCTTATGCATACAGTAAACTGATAGCATATCCTCGGAATAGAGTTAACTAATATTGTACCTTTGGCATAGAGTAAACTTATATTATATCCTCGGCATAAAGTAAACTGATATTGTATCTTTGGCATACAGTAAACTGATATTATATCCTTGATATAGAATATACTGATACTGTCTCCTCGGCATAGAGTAAACTGATATTATATCCTCGGCATAGAGTAAACTGATATTTTATATCCTTGACATAGAGTAAACTGATACTATATCCTCGACATAGAGTAAACTGATATTTTATATCCTTGACATAGAGTAAACTGATACTATATCCTCGACATAGAGTAAACTGATACTATATCCTTGGTATAGAATATATTGATATTGTATCTTTGGCAAAAGAGTAAACTGATTTAAATCTTCGTCATGTGTGATCTGTTACTGGTACTATGTCAGTAACATGGAGTAAACTGCTATGATATCCCCGACATAGCGTAAACTTATATTATATCATCAGTGATGGAGAATGTGGTCCCTCTTTAATATATATTTCAGAATAAGGTGGTGGATTATCATAATTCTGTAAAATATTGTCATAAGGAGGTGGGTCTGTTGATTCTGTTGATTGTCCTGGATTACTTAAACCTGAAAAGTAAAAGTTATTTATATATTTTCACAAATCTGGGAATCGAACATCCAGCTTTGGCGTTTTATTATACTGTAAATCGATAAAAATGACTGTATACAATCATGTATCCCCAGGTTAAATGCCATTGTAGCAACATTATTTAGATTGCAAGAGGTTAACAATACAAGTAAACGCAACTAAAACTTAAATGTCTTTGTTATATTTTAAAAGTTTAGAAATTTATGATATGAATGAAGGAGATGTGGATATACTTCAACAAAACAGCAACCTAACGACAAAACTAAAAAGTTATCTATAGTGCAACATGCAGTCTTCAACAACAGACAGGTGTCTATACAATATGTAAAGCTCTAAATCATCATGAGTCTAAACTCAGGTCAATATACAGACTTCAATAACAGACAGGTGTCTATACAATATGTAAAGCTCTAAATCATCATGAGTCTAAACTCAGGTCAATATACAGACTTCAACAACAGACTGGTGTCTATACAATATGTAAAGCTCTAAATCATCCTGAGTCTAAACTCAGGTCAATATACAGACTTCAACAACAGACATGTGTCTATAAAATATGTAAAGCTCTAAATCATCCTGAGTCTAAACTCAGGTCAATATACAGACTTCAACAACAGACAGGTGTCTATACAATATGTAAAGCTCTAAATCATCCTAAGTCTAAACTCAGGTCAATATGCAGTCTTCAACAACAGACAGGTGTCTATACAATATGTAAAGCTCTAAATCATCCTGAGTCTAAACTCAGGTCAATATGCAGTCTTCAACAACAGACAGGTGTCTATACAATATGTAAAGCTCTAAATCCTGAGTCTAAACTCAGGTCAATATGCAGTATTCTACAACAGACAAGTGTCTATACAATATGTAAAGCTCTAAATCGTCCTGAGTCTAAGAATGTTGAACATTTCAAAGATGAATATTATTTTCACAGTTAAGGCAAAATAATTTCTTTTTGAATTGCGCATATGGTCAAGGTTAACTTTGATGTTCTGTTAATAATATTTCTGCCATTGTATCGAGGCAACTTCTGGTGTACACTAATTACCGCATTAGTATTTGTGCCTGTGTTAATATCATTTTAGGTTTAACCACTTGTCAGCCTTTAGGGTATTTGGATGTCTGCATTTGGTTACAAATATAAATAAGAAGATGTGGTATGAGTGCCAATGAGACAACTCTCCATCCAAGTCACAATGTGTAAAAAGTAAACAATTATAGGTTTAAGTACGGCCTTCAACACGGAGCCTTGGGTCACACCGAACAGCAAGCTATAAAGGGCCCCAAAATGACTAGTGTAAAACAATTCAAACAGGAAAAACCAAGTCTAATCTATATAAAAACGAGAAACGAGAAACACTTATTAACCACATCAACAAACGACAACCACTGAACAACAGGCTCCTGACTTAGGACAGGTGCATACACATGCAGTTGGTTTAAACGTTTTAACAGGCGCCAACCTTCACCCTAACATGAAAAAGTAGTGTAACATTACAACATAAAAAGACACACTATAAAATATCAATTGAAATGGCTTAACTCGATCAAAAAGACATATAAACAAAAACAAGTAAACATACACTGAACGAATAAATTTGATCTATGACACAATATTAATACAATATTAATAAAAAAGGTGTAAAACAATATCAAAAAGACAACCCTAACCTAGGACAAAATGGCGTTAAATAAAATAACGTACACAGGTAAATTTAAATATAATAATTTTGTTGTTAGGAGTATGGAAATATTTTTTACAAAATAAATAAATTTGTTGTTCACAGTACGAGTACAGAATTGAAAATTTATCGTCATACTAAATACTTATCAAAGGTGGTACATATTAAAAATAGTGAGACGAGATATAACACAAAATAAGTAAACATTGAATAACAAAAATGCATTATAAATTGTGTCAACAGGTCAAATTAACACGAAAGTACGATTTGAGAGAACTCGCAGTTACTGAAAGCTAGTTAAAAGCCAAAAATAATTAATAATAAAAAATCATGCACCAGAGGCTAAAACCAATTAAAACATATCCGAGGATTTAGTGTTTTAACGCCATGGACAGTCAGAGAAGACATGACTTGTGCAATGCCAAAATAAAAGTATCGACAGGCAGTAGGATAGTTAGGATTTAACCTTATAATAAATATGTATCATGTTATATATTATAGATAAAGTAATCTCTAAATAGAAAATGAACGTGGATGTGTATTTATACATCCCAAAAAAAGTTCGAAAAGAATACAAATTTAGTTATGTTTTAATTTGTTGATGACAAAATCAATGTTAGTGCCAATGTAAACCACATTCAATGATCTTATTACAACATTAATAAGATAACCTTTACTAATAAGTTTGTTTCAAGGTTCGATTAGTTTACGAGGATCACATAGTGATTTCCGCGCTTTTAGTACAATATTACCGTAAAATTTAGGATGTGAAATACCGTTTTAATCAGTTTTCTACAGGTACAAATTTACTAATCAAAATTAATATTTGTATCTATGAAAGAATTTAGTAAATGTTTTAAGTAATTTATGGTAACGAAATCCCTGACTTAATAATTTACCAATGATGCATTGATTACGTTCGTTTAAATCTATGACATCACTACACACGGGCATAACGAACATGTTGGGATATATAAACACCGTATGATGGAGCAAAGGAACATCGCCGTCTAAAAAAGGAAAATTAACAATAGGGAATGAAAAAACGTCTCTTTTGTCGTAAATTTTAGTATGGAGTTTCCCTTTAGAAATTGAAATGTCTAAATCTAGAAAGGACAACTACTGTTGTTTATGTTAGATTTATTTAAAGTAAGTTCCATTGGGTAAATTTCGGTAGTATATTTAGAGAACTCTGGATTATTTAACGAAAAAATATCATCAAGATAACAGTAGGTTGAATGTGTCAACCAAATGTAACAATGACGTGTCTTTTCTGAGTTTGGCCATAAACTGTGATTCATAGCAATACAGGAATAAATCTGCTATTAAAGGGGCGCAATTAGTGCCCATAGCTACTATTGATTTTTTATTTAGAAATGCGCACAGGATGCATTAAAAATTATGTGAGGTCTTAACCAATAGTTTATTTTCATATTACCGACTGTTTACTCTGGAGTATATATTTTTCGACAGGTCACCTTCTCTGTGGTAGGACATTCTGTTACTTTGTCAAGTAAGAGCAATTTATAGATGTATAATCAAGCTTACAATCGGTGCAGTTTGTCGAAAAAGTTAACAGTTTTCCGATAATTTTTGTCGTGTAAAGAAACATGAGACAGTTATTTATCACAAAATTGCACCGATTGAAAGCTTGATTTTACTTTCTTTAGTCGCTCTTAGATGAACGTGTACCAGAATGTCCTACCAAAGAGTAGGTAACCTGTCGCACAAATTAATATATGATACTCCGGAGTCAAAAGTCGGTAATATGAAAATAGTCTATTGTCTATATTATATTCCAGAAAAAATACCTTCTTGTTGTTGATGTCTAGATTGTACTGTGTATATTGCTGTATCATTTGCACTAGAATTCGTAGCCATTTTTCTGCAATAGTTCCCCCATCTTCTGCAGAAGACAGCTATCGAACATAGAATGACAACTCCTATGATTCCTCCTATAACGGCACTAGTCGTTTCTCTGTAGTTCAGATCTGTAATTGAAACATCAGACTAAAACATGTAAAATTGAAAACCAAAGTCACACCAAAGAGCTAAAAAACATCTGATAATGTTTGTCTTGAATGTTTATTACAATTTAGAACAATTTAGAACAATAAAAGACGCTGTTGTTTATGTACATATAGAAATGATTCGGATCATAGACCACAAATTCCGACAGGACAAAATGGACTGCCGTGATAATTTTTACCACAGCTTATTTTAATGACATTGATATATGAATAGTTGATGTATTACGAAATCAAGAATGATAGAAAATACAATATTCTGTAACTAACTTCAACACCAAAAGGATGAAAAGACGTACGTTTAAAAGTCCTCGTACCAGTAACCTGTACTTTTATATAACTTTTCATAGGACTTGGTCTAGTTGTCTTCAGTAAAATATCGACAAATTCATCTTGTTCTGAGCACCACTGTTGAACTGGATTGTCACTCTGCATATATTCCTATAAATTAATACAGGTCAGTTATAATGATGCGTATGAATGCAGTGTATTGAGAAAACTACAAGACTGAATGAGTCTATCCCTTTCCAACAGATTTTAACAGTTTGCTATTATACCGCTGTCCCAGATTAGGGAAGGGTTGAGCGCTCATAAACAGGTTTTACCCCGTCATATTCTTTTTATGCATATCCCTAGTCAGGAGATAGTAATTCAATGGTTGCCGTTGGTAACTGTCTGCTATATAATATGTGTTTATTGTTTATAGTTTTTAGAATATTATTAAGGACTTGGTTTTCTCTTTTGTCATATCAAGGCCTTTTAGAGATTACTATACGGTACGGTTTTTTGTCATTATTGAAGGTCATACGGTGACCTTGAATTGTTTAAATCCTCCTTCCGAGGCAATGGTGGATAGTTGTCTCATTTGAAATCATATTACATCTCCTTTTATGTATATGCATATACATGTATGATGTAGTTATCAACATAACCATTATGAAAACATGCATGTTTAAAAAATTACTTTTGGTGTATAAAGAATTATTTGCTGAAAAAAGCAAGTGGAACATTTCAAGATCATTGGCTTTTTACAAAAAAATCTCTGATATTTATTTACAGCTTCTCGAGTTTACTGTATGGTATGGATATGAATATTCATATAACAGATCAATCTCTGTAGACTCTGTAGAATGAGAATTTAAAGTACCTTCTTAAGCGCTTCTTGGTAAAGCCCTCTACCTGAGTAATATGTTAAACTGAGTTCAGAGTTCTCGATAGTCCAATTTGTCACAGTTATACATATTTGATATTTATCTTCCGGGTAAAACGAATCGTAACCGTGAAAAGACACCCGACATCCTGGATTTTGACTGTGTCCTGTCCAAGACAGCAGGTACGAATGCCTTTCAGTTACCCTGTATATATTGTAGCAGTTGTTAAACGTCACTGAAATAGTATTGTTACACAGTTTTATAAATGCGATAGAAAATTAGCCATTATATGATACTTCAAATTTGAAAAAAAAGTTGAATATGTTTTATATAGTTGAATGGCTAAGTTAGACTATAAAACAAGTGTACGTGGACTTTCTTGTAAAAAAAAATCATTTATCTTGTATAAATCTTCAGAAAAGTACTGCTATTGAACTGTTGTCTTCCTGTATAACAATTCGCCGAGTTTTATTCGTATGCAGTGACCTTAACTACGAGACTTCTCGTAAGAACTTCGGCCACCGCCCCGCGCAAGTGCGAGGGAAAACCCGTGATGAAAGAATGTAAACAAACGTGCACTGGAAGGCAAATAGTAATAATTGATTTTGAAAGAACAAATTAAATACGCCAAATCATTTAACAACTATTTTGGAAAAGTTTGATTGGTGGAAAATTAAAAAAAATGAACATCGCTCTATCAATTCACTTATTTTTCACGTGCTCCATGATTATGTGTTAATTGTTTATCAATGTCACGATCAGTTAAACTTCGGCAACAGACTAAAAAGTTAATAAGCCTGCGATTAGCAGTCACCGAATGAAATATTATTTGTCGATATAATTTAAAGATTTGTAAATATGAACATTTCAAATCCATAATTTTATCTAATTAATTTTCTATATTGTTCATGCAGGAACAAGAAAATCATTCTGGTTCCTGGTCACTTGTTTAGCATATCATAAGGATAAAACTATTGCTTCCGGGTCCAATAATTTACCGCGCATATAAGATATCTTATATGCGCGGTAAATTTTTGGACCCGGAAGCAATCTTATATGCGCGGTAAATTATTGGACCCGGAAGCAATATTGATTAATTAGCTTATATGGCTTAACTTTGGAGCTTCATGATCAGCAGATGTCGGTAGCCATACATTTTTGCCATTTTTTTTTTCTATTCGGTTCCCGCATCGAGTATATGGGAGCCCTACAATTACCACTTAAGTGGAATGTCATAGTCGCCACTATGGCAAATATCTATACTTTGTTTAAAATCGTAAAATATATAGGACTTTAAAAAAATTAATTATCAATCATTTATTTTTTATAAAAGACTTACGATATTCCTGCCATGCTGCAGCGAACTCTGTTAGCAAAAATATTCCACAAATAATAAGCCGAGTTATACATCCCTGGGTGGACATCGACCTGTAAAGAAAATCACCGTTTTCACGCTCATATACTTAAGTATTTACTAAAAAAACTTTCGAACCAACAAAAGCAGGTATATAATTACTCCGATATAAAATATTTTTATCAGATTATCAGAGACATACAATATAATGTTTTATATGTCTGTGTTATTATACAATAATTCAATAGGTGTAACACCAAACTGGTCATTCAGTCATACACAATGTAATCGTAACCTAAATACTGATATGAGATAGCGTTTCTAAGTTCACACAGGCCATAGTTATTAAAGAAAATACATATTAAAGATTCAAATGTAAAGAAGGTAAATTAATGTCTCCTGTTTGAGTCGTGGTTACTGTGTAGCATCACCACCAGATATAGGTACTCCCAAAGCAAAGAAACAATGATAGCAAAAAATACATTTTCTAATCCCCGTACAGTAAACAACAATTTGCTGCTATTCGCCGTACAGTTTAACAGCTTTATTTACATGAATTTCTCTGTGTAAAAAAATCGTTAATTTCGAAATACAGTGTTGTTCAAGCTTAAATATGATATACCAGCCAATTAAGGATCATAATCAGCCCTAATTAGTAGCTACATTATTAGGAATCACTATCGTAAAACTTTACTTGTCAGCAAAACGTAGAATATAATGAAAATAAGAAAAAAATTAACCTTACCTGACTTCACATTTGTTATTTTTTTACATCGCTTAGAATGTACCTATATCCGGTGGTGATGCTACAGTGTTGGTGTATACCTTAAACCTTTTCATAGAAATTGATACAAACATATAAACATACATACCAAAATGTATAGAAGCGTATTAATCTCATCCAGTGTTAAATGCGATAAATACTTTGGAAATTGGTATAAGTTGTACGTTAACTTTATTTTTCTCAAATAAAAGAATATATGTCCATTTTATATTAAAAAAAAATCAAAATCAATAATATGACTGAAAAGTTGATTTACCTTTGTAATTTGTCGTTACATGAAAGTATTATCTCAACAGGTCATTTGTATGAAGGTGATTTTACCATTATGTAAGCTATTGATAATTACGTAACCAATAGACTAAATATGTAGACATGTATGTACAATTAAGTTTCAAGTTGAAATTGATATAACCAATGAAGCATGTCTATCGATTGCGGACAAACTGGTCGGTTATCCCATTTTTTACAGAGGATGACCTTGAGGTCACTCCGATGTATTGCTATCGCCTAAATTGACATTATGCAAATTAGTTTTGGGATTTCAACCGATCTATAAAAATTATAGATCCGCGGTCATTACAAGGGAAAAAAGTGCATTTTTATACCTGCGATTCCGTTCTCCGTTCGTACGATGTTTCATCAAAAAATGGAATCATTTCAGTTGTTGATTTAGTACTGAAAATTTGACTGAATTATCTCCTTATTAAATACGGTTTTATATGTTTAATAGGTGTTTAAGAAAGAGGTCAGGTGCTCATGTTCATTCATAAAATTATCGTTCATTCATGAATTTATCGTAAAATCTAAATCACTACACAGGTCACACAGGTTGTATACGTGTCAAAAGATTACCTGTATAGTATCTAAAAATAGACAAACTTAACTGACTCCCCTTACTGTAGTCAGAGACATATAAAAGTATTATATGTCTCTGCTGTAGTGTGTGATAACATTTTGTGAGGGAATTCGATGTTTGCTATACCACTGTTCATTTCAACGCACTTTATGATTATACCACTTTATCAATATGAATGAAATTTTTTGCAGTGTTTTAAGAAACAATTTTACTTTAAAATCGCGTATCATTTGTGAACTATTAAATGTTTTACAAGGACGAATTTTCTGTATAAAGTCAATAATTGTGTGAACTTTTGAAGCCCAAACTTTTTATAGCCTTAAATACGCTAATGAAAGATCCGAAAACTATACCCATACAGAACGACATGTTTTTGAAATTGTAGCAAAACTTTTGGTTGACAAATTTTAATTCGTTATTGCATAAATATTAACTTGAAATATCTGTCATTTTCTCCCTACCCAGTTTACCTCTATTACTCATTATGATGTGGACTTGACATTGTTATTGAATCTTATGCAATTTGATTGGATTAAGTTATTATTAGATTACCTTCAAACTGTTCATGCTTTTTCGTACGAGTATATTGATTAAATCAGAGCGTGCATGAATGTGTACAGAAAATTAAATGACCTGCAAACTGGACACTGGACCAGTCCATATTACGTTTTATCACTGATGAATAGATTTTTTTTTTATTTCCCAAATTACAGGGCCCATAAAGGGCATAACATCAGATACAATTGATTTACATAATTGGTAACAACAACAATAATAGGGGCATATAAATAGATATTTAGTATATAAGCATTGGTCAGAATCAGATGAACGAAACTTAAGGTATGAAAGGTAACAATTGCCACTTTTTATCTTTTCACATAATTTTCCACATACACATTAGATAAATTATTTTTGATAGCCTATTGCGGAAAAAAAAGAGAAAGTTTACTGTATTAACGTTCTATTCCATTAAATACGCCATTTTTCGAAGATAAATGCAGAAAAACATTTATGAACGGCTACGCCAGGTAAAATTGTTGTTTATCCTAAAAAAAAATACAATTTTCAGTTTCATTATAACATTATAATAATAATAAATCCCAAATTTATGAATCCCAAATTTATGTAGTCATTAGATAAAGTCCTTATATGTCCGATCTGCCTATTTTTGGACATCAAAAGACAATACGATCGTTTTAAGGTCAATTTCGTCTACCTCACACAATCTTGTTAGGCACTATAATGAAATGGACCTGAAATTTATTTCACATGTTTCCTGAAAATTGATAAATATCAAAGCAACATAGAGCTGTTTGTTCTAGTTCGTATAATGACAATTTAATGTCATGTTTGTTTGTGATGACCCCCCTTTTCGGGATTGCATCAGAATTATAGTTATCTCGTATCGCATGAGGATGACACATGTCAACTGAGCAATTATGTTTGGGACTTAGTTTTAAGAAATGATGTCAAAGTAACATTATGAAAATATTTTTAGTAAGCTGAAATATATATTTATTTTTTACATGTTTATGTCTTGTAAGATATTTTATTTCTGTCCCGTTTCTCAACATTTGCGTCTGGAAAGTTGAAATGTTTTAACTGAATGGTTAATTTAAATTAATTATGAAAATGGTTAAAATTAAATCAATAAAGGAAATTATTGCCCAGTTACAAACACTACCAGGGGATAATCCATAATGATTTTTTTTAGTTATATGTTTCAGCACATGTATAATTAACCCCAACTTTAGCCTGGTAAACTTGTTGTCTCCTTGTAAAATATAAAACATATTTAAAATGATTTCCTGCTAAAGTCTTATATTGATATAAAGTTAAAACCGTCTTGCTTCTCACTAGTCAACACTCCTGTCCTGTCAGGTTTAATTCTTATATATATGGATGAAAAATAAAAGTCCACAAAACATTAACATGGCAGCAATTGCTTTTACAGCCTTTAAGACTTTGATTTTTTTTTACAGAAGAGTGTCCACCATGCACTTGCATTACACTATAATAATAGTAGAATAGTATGATATACAAATAGATGAAAATTATATATACATGCAACCGTAATATTAATATAATATATAACAACAAACCAATGTATTCTCTGGAACTATTATTATATTAGTATAATAGTCTAAGGTATACTGATTTGTATCACTACAATATAATAGTTATTACGGTGAGGTTGAATTTCCTGTCATTTATTCATCATCCAAGCACGAACTTGTATAAGAAAAAAAAATCTCTGTAAATTAACCTCAGTTTCAGGTATAGAGATGTGATCTGTTTCTGTGACATGTGCTTTTGACCATCCACAAGAACCTGCGGTCATCCGATGTTCAGTACTTCAGTACTTTGATTATTACTTGTCTTGTCTTGTACCATTTACACCGATTAAATAAAGCTACTGTAGTTCTGATCACTTCGAACCTCTTTCCGTAACTCATCAGACTAATCTGTCATATAAATGTTGTGTAAAAGTTCTACCCTACAACTAAAAATAAAAGGATCTCATAATGGTCATGAGAATTGAGATCGTAGTCGGTATTATGTCCTACAGTATCTAACGCTTTGTATCGTATGTTGTTATCTATTTTTAGGTGTTTTTTTTAGACCTCGTCTTGTCTATAAGCGGAGGTCCTAGTAATGGACTTCAAATCAATTCAAAGTATTTTATTGTTCAAATATTAAACCGGCGTAAATTCAAACAAAGGGATTGGACAAAATGCAAAGCTTATACAAATCCTTTTCCATACCAGATGGATTGAATAATCTGATACATAAATTCATAGATCATTCATTATTGCCGTGGGTCAGGGGAGGCAACCACCACTTCTCCGAATAGTACTAGTAATAGACTTCCGATATATGTGATTGTTTTATTGAAATAGAAGCAAATATAAATGTATTAAAATCAGAGTGTCAAATGTTTGCATTGAACAAGTTACTTTTTACAAAAATAAAATAAAGAAATAAATAATTTACTTGACGAAAGTGTCACCATCCATTACAATATTTGTTTAACCGGGAGACTGGCTACTAGAATGGCGATGAAACGAGATGCAACACGAACAATTGCAGAGGTTGGCAATGCCAACAATAGACAATGACTTAGACCTGGTCATTTGCCTGAGAACACTCGCTTTAACTCCTCTGGTAGAATAAGACACAGGTCCTATGCATTAATTAACAATTTAATGATTTTGGATGGAATACATATAATTTCACAAATTTGCGGATGTTGTCAATTCGACTGCCTGACTCTCACGGAAGTAAAAAACTTCAGATAAGACCTTTAGATTAAGAATTTTACGAGGTTATAATCTCATAATAGAAATGGGATTATAGATTGACCATTAAACAACCATACAATTAGCACTTAAAGAATTAACAAAAGAAGATAACGAAAGGTCGATTAAAGACATGTTTGTATTAACTACTTCTTACATAATAAATAAAGATAATTTAACAATAAGAATGTTGGTACTCGAAAATATGCAATAAACCGTTTTAAA